ATGTTTAGACGGTTCTGTTCATGGTAACATGTGGTGGACAGGAATCATTATGGGAGGTGAGGCATGATCTTTATTTTGCTAGAGCAAAGAAATTCCTAGCGCATACTCTGCTCCTGTTATAACGTTGCTAAAGCACTGATGTCCTAATCCAGTTGATACGACATTTATTTGATGAATCAGAAAAGCACCTCGCTGTGTAATCTGGAAATGGAAATGCTGCTCTATGACTCTGAGAAGACATGAGGTTTTAACCATTATTACAAAATAATTGTCCCTTATAAAAATTAACAGTTTGCCATGTTCTGTTTCTGCCTTTAAGGGCACAAATAAAACATAAGAACCTTCTTATTGCACCACCTACTGTGTACTGCATTACACCACTCAGCCTTTACCTTCCCAGTGTCAACCTGACTGCCCTGCAGATAGCACTGTGCATGTACAACCACAAGAGGAGGCTGGAGCTGTAAGTGCATGACCTTGGACCATACTGACAGGGAGGAGGATATTGAAAAAGTCTGTGAGAGACAGAGACACAGCCTTACCTTGCTCCATCAGGGTGAAACTTGGGAAGCTTCAGGGTAAGGGTGTAGGTTGTATTTATTCCAGTCTCATCAGTGACGGAGTACATACATGCACACATGTACATGTAGCTATGGATGTGAGTATGGATATATATGCTTGCTCTCAGAGAGGTCACAGATGCCTGAAGCTGCTCTCACTTCTGGGATCTCTGGCAAACATTCAGCTCTCTCTGTACAGAGTAAAATAAATAATTATGCATACACACACACATATGAAAATAAAAGAAATATAAATACATGTTAAAAAATCAATTTTCAGAAGTGTTTTTGTCTCAAGCAATAATCAAAATCTCTCACAACCTTTTATAATAGGAAATTTGTATATATGCCCAGTACAGTGTCTGAATACAGGTTTCAGAAAGCTGTCAGTTGTTCCTTACAATTCTGCAGGAAAATAAAAGGTTCATGGAAAACAAGGGGAGATCTGCCTAAGAAAAAACAGTGAAATACACAGCAGAAGCCTGTGTCTCAGATAAGAGATCAGTGGGGGAGTTGGAGTTGATTTTATTTTTTTCCCTCTAGATCAGGTATTACAGACCTGCATCTCTGAGAGAGATTGGAACAATTACAGAAAATAACACAAAGCCAAGGTTTTCTTGCAGCTATTATTATTACTGCTGTGCAGCGTACTCCTTCAGTTTGAGACCAGCTGCTGCAATTACAGAAAAGAAAAGCGTCAAAATTGGAAGGACAGAATAAAACTCTTGAGGTTTTCATGTCTAATATAAGTATATCCTTGTAGAATCCATTTTAAGAAGGAAGAAGTCACCTGGGCTGAAATAATCTTACACATCCTTCGGGTGGCTAAACACTGCTCGTTATTGCTACTTTATAAACTGAGTGATAAACCAGTTGAAAACACTTGGGTTATACCAATCAGAAATATGCCTTTCAAGTCATTTCAACAACAGACTAAAGTACTGGTGGCCGGCTCATTTATTGCTATTATCTGCATACCTTGATCACAGACAGGGAGCCCACTGAACTAGAGCATGTAGAAACCCAGGCAAAACAATAGCTCCTTCTGCACAGAATTCAGTACAAGATTAAATGCAAGATATGAGAGAACACAAGAAAGGAGAAGGACTGAATAAATGAGCTCTGGAGGCAGAGATCACAAAGCGCAAATGTCCTACCCTGCTTTTTGTACAAGGGAGTTTGTAGGGTTGAAGGTGAGTTTAAAGAGGAATCCAGAGGAAGATATGACCTAGTTTTATTAATTTTTACAAGGACCTTCTTCCAAACACAATGAAAACACTGGAGGCAGTTAAAAAATGCTTGTTTGAAAAGTGGCTGTAGTACTTGATCTGCCTCCTTCATGTTGGCAGCCTGTAAAATGGGAATAGTTTAGAAGAAAAGCAATTCCAGGATCTGCTTCACACTGCCATAGCACTGTGGTCTTAGAGACACCTGCATTTTAATTCATTTCTAGTAGGATAGCTATCCATACCTACGCTGCAGGATTATAAACCTGAGAAATTATATATGTATGTTTATGCCTCAAATAATTTTTTAATGAAGACTTCTTGTAAATACAGTAATCTTCAGACAGCTTTTTTGATATATGTGGGTGTGTGCATGTGTGCATGGTCTCATTTGAAAGCACTATCAGACAAAATGGTGGTTTCAGTGGCTCCCTACCCTGGACTTCAATCTCAAAAAACCCAAAATGGCTAAACTAAAAATTATATTAAAGGCTATACCTCTTTCAAGTTTTCCAATAGCGTATGGTAGGAGTTTTTCTTCAATTTTATAATGTTTTGTGTTGCTAAGAGTGAAGTAGGAGATGGAGGTTGCAAAAACTTTGTTAAGGCCAGGAAAGAGTTTCTTCCTTGCAGACTACGAAAGTTCTGCTTCTCATCCAGAATCCTTCCTCTGCCCTGAATTTCTCAAGGTGTTGCTACACACGTCCTGATACAATAGCGGTATGCAGGACAGAATACTTTTTCCTTTATATCTTAAAATTTATAGAAACCTGAAAGAGTACGCCTCTTCCATCAGAACTTTACTCTTCCAGTTCCCCCAAATGCACATACGCTCCCTTTCCTGCTCCCATCGACTGTTTAAAATTTGAGTCTTTGGCAAGGGTTATAAGTGTCTTTTGTGTATCACATCATATCTTGCCTTTTTTCTACTGAGTAGTTAAATTAGCTGTGTGTTTGTTGGAAATCATTCATATGCTGCATATTTAGAGTCTTGCCTGAAGTATTAATGCCCAGAAGCTAAGACTGGAAATCGGACATCTGCAGTAGTGGCAGGATAGGACTTTTAAAAGAAATGCAATAAACAAAATCGCACTGAGTGTGTTTACGTGTCACACTGACTTCACTGACTATGTGACCATGCTAGCAGCTTGACAGGTTATATTGGGTTTACGTGGCAAGGTTTTAGTAACAGGGGGCTGCAGGGGTGGCCGCTGCAAGGAGACACCAGGAGCTGCCCCCATGTCATACAGAGCCAGTTCCAGCCAGATCCAAGACGGACCTGCTGCTGGCCAAAGCTGAGCCCATGAGTGATGTTGGTACTGCCTGGGTGATAAAAAAGGTAAAAACTGCTGCATAACGGCTGGGTGAGAGGGTTTGAGAGGAGCAGCCCTGGAGACTCCAAGGTCAATGCAGCAGGAGGTGCTCCAGGTGGATTCCCGTGCAGCCCATGGTGGGGCAGGCTATCACCCTGCTGCCCATGGAGGCCTACGGGGGAGCAGATCCCCACCTGCAGCCCGGGGACGACCCCACACTGGAGCAGGCTCATGGCAGGACCTGCAGCCCATGGAGAGGAGCCCACGCAGGAGCAGGTTTTCAGACAAGAACTGTGTCCCATGAGGGACCTACACTGGAGCAGTCCATTCTTGAAGAACTGCAGCCCGTGGGAAGGACCCCACACTGGAGCAGGAAAAGAATGTGAGAAGGAAGGAGCAGCAGAGATGAAGTGTTAGGGTCTGACTGCAGCCCCTCTTCCCCATCCCCCTTCACCACTTGTGGGGAGGAGGCAGAAGAGCGAGGAATGAAGTTGAGCCTGGGAAGAAAGGGGGTGGGTCGAGGGGAAGGTCTCACTATCCTGCTCTCTTATTAATTTGCAATAAATTAAATTCATCTTCCCCAAGTTCAGTCTGTTTTCCCCTAACAGTAATTGGTGAGTGATCTCCCTTGTCCTCACCTTGACTCACCAGCTTTTCATCTAATTTTCTCCCCCTGTCTTGTTGAGGAGGGGGAGTGAGAGAACAGCTGGGTGGGTACCTAGCAGGCAGCCAAGGTCAAACCACCACAGAGGTTGAAATTACAGGTGTGAGATGATGAGGTCTCAGATTTTCACACTTCTTTTTTTTTTTTTTTCTTGTGCCAGACATTCAGAGTTCAGAGCTTCTGCACTCTTACTGCAGGCAATTTAAACTCCAGTTGGGAATGCATTATGGTTTCAGTTAATGCAATAAAATATCACAAGTTACAGTGGTCTTACTTATAGTTAGTAATAAGCTCTAACTCACTGGAAGTCATATAGATTGGAGGACAGCTAGGTGATAAAAATGTTACACAACCACCTACTTGCATCCTTACCTTTCTTTTTCAATCTTTGCATGTCATGCAAGTATGACTTACGAATATCACTGCACTTTTATTGGTTTATCAGTCAATGATGTTTCAGATCTGAATACAGTTTACCAGCACTTGCTGTAGATAAGAATGCAATTAATTCCGTTCATTCACCCCTCATAAATGTAGATTCTGGATTTATCTAGTAATGATGTGGTCGGTTCTTGGTACTGTTTGTGGCTTATGGTGGGGCCTAACATTAGCTTAAGTGGTGTAGCAAGGGCAGTCGGTGACCCTTAAGAACTGCCAGCTGGTCATTAACAATCCCAGTGTGTGACTGGCAGCACTCTGCTCCACAGCTGTAGTTCAATGAACTAATAGCTAATACATTAAGTCACCCTAAAAGGTTTAATTCCTTACAAATAAAACAAGTTTAAATGCCATCTCAGCCATGATGGAAGCTGTCGCTGGCCTTTGATTTATTTTGTTTGCAAGGAATTCACTTGTCATAAATGGATTTGTGCATTTGTTGTTTCTTTAACTGAAATTTTGTGTACATGCAGAAATAAAATATTGGGCTTCTAGTGAAAGTTACAGAAAAAAGCCTCATGCCTTGTGCCTGGACGAATTTGAGCACCTAAACTCTGCATGTGCCATATTTGACATTTCTAGATCCTTGTATAAGTGCTATAAACTTTCACACCCAAGTTCTGTCCTTGGGAAGTGGGTTGCAAGCTATTTTTTTTGGTCATTGACTTCAACATTAAAAGTGTAAGAAAACAAAGCCTTACTTGCTGTATTTTCAGAGACAAGGGCTAGCCTGTAAAATCAGCTTCCCTGCATGATTCATAAAATCTATTTCTGAACAGGGAAGAATTTTCTCTTTAGCATTCTGGGGTGACTTTTCCTAGTTTGTTCCGCTGTGTGCCATGGTTTTCTTTCTGCTTATATTTTACACAGGGAGATCAGGGTATTCCAGGGGACAAAGGTCCACAGGGCGAACGAGGGAAACCTGGCCCATCAGGAGAAAAGGGGGATGTGGGTCCTATTGGGCCACCAGGAGACAGAGGCTACCCAGGATCACCAGGTCATCAAGGTCCCCCAGGTTCACCAGGACCCCCAGGCTTTCCTGTAAGTAAATACAAGTTTTCCGTGGTTGCTTATGAATTCAGATGTTGTGAAGGTAACGTGCTGAGCAGTGAAAATTCAACCAAGCAATACCACAGTATCAGAAAAACTAAGATATCTCTGAGATAATTTCAGTGTTCAGTTAAGAGGTGGAAAAAATATAGCCAGCTGATCAAGCAGTTATTTTATTTTTTTTTTTTAAATATGTGCTATGGATAAACTTTAATTATTTACTCCTTTAGCTCCTGACAAATCAATATGATTTCTCAATACTCTTTATTTTCAGGTTTTTCATACGCTTAAGAGCTAAAGTGTAAGCCTTTGCAACTGGGAAAGAAAAGGAGGCAGACAAAAATGATTCTCAATAGAAGAGAAATCAGCATTTAAAAAGACAATAAAATGCTGCCTGTCAGTTGTAGATATCTTGGTTCGCCTCCATGTGCGCACAGGCGCACATCCATATTGTGGGCTCTTTTTAACCTCAGTCACATAGGGTAAATCTCTAAAAATCTTGTCCAGTGAAGTTATTGGTCCTGTGATGCAGTTTCAGTTATCAGTTATCCCCGAGAGGGGGTGAGAAGTTGGCAAATGCTTTGCAAAAGGCAATTAAAGCATAGAGGTATCACTGGACATCCTCACTGTCTTGTGGAAATTAATTTCCATACACATAACATGCTGATCATCTTGACAGATGGGAGTGCCTTTTCCATTTCATGGTATTAGTGGTCTTTATAATATTATAATGTATTTGCAATAAAGTGGTCTTTGCTGTTAAGTAAACAACACAAATGTACTAAAATACTTAATTTTGTGTGAAAGGTTTACATTTTTAATACAAGTTCAGCATTTTTTTATTTTTATAGCATCATAAAGTGCCCTCTGTATGTTTCTTCTGATACATATCAGCTTTTTTTTTCCTCATCAGGCTGATACAGTTTCACTTGAAGAAATAAAAAATTATATTAAACAAGAGGTTCTTAAGGTTTTTGAAGGTAAGAAAGTGAAGTATTATACAACTAAACCTAAATCTAAAATTCTGTTCTAAACGCTTTACTTCTCTACAGCTTTATATACATTTCTTTACATGTCATCTAACTTACATTGAACTTAGCAGCTGCCTTGTTACTGTAGCCACGTTTAACTGTTAACTCTGATTAATATAACTGTTTGAACAATTATAAATTATAGTATCTGTTAAACAGAGTATTTACTTATGTAAAAGATCAGCATTAAAAGCTGGTTTGCTCCAAATCATAATAGCAAACGTATATATGTATCGTAGATACATATACGTATCATGTATTATTGCAGATATGTATGCATCTACAACATATCATTAAGACACTGAAGATTTATTAAAGTGGAGACGATAGAAATACCTAATTATATTGGCCACTTAGTGGGTGACTATCTAAATGAGAGAACGGCCTGACAGCTTTCGGTCATGCTGGTCTAAACTGTGCATTTTCAGCAAACACCCCTGCTGAGTTCCAAAGCTCCCTTGCAGACCACCACCTTCTGGCACTGTTTTAGGCAAGTACCAGATTCAGTCAAGGTCTTTGTGCTATGTAAGCTTTCTTAGGTGTGTCCTTATTCTGAAAAGGAAATATTTTTCTTCCCCAGCATTTTCTTAGTCAGGATTAAAAAGCTGTGACTCAAGTAGGTGTCTGAAACAAGCTTCTGCTCAAACACCTCTTAACAGTAGGTTCTCTTCAATCACAAGATGCATTTCTTATGTCTGCAACATGCTTAGCTATTTTGTCATTAATATTTGTGGATACAAACCTTTTTATCTTTTAGGGATAAAAGAAATCACATAAAGCTTGAGACTTTTTAAACTGTTAGGGCAGTTTTTCCACTTTATAACACGGCTATCATTTTGTGTATTTTCACCCTTCCCGAGCCCTTAGGAGTTCAACATACTATGTATTTCGAGAGCAGTTTGTTGGCTGAAGTTACCTCCTTTTCCCATTCAAATGGAATGGTAACAAGTATTTAGTCTATTCATAAAAACAAAGTATTAAAAGGTGTCCTGCCTACAGGGAATGTTGGGTTTTGTCTTTTATAGCTACTCCATCTTCTACACCTCACTAGTGTTCTGACAAACCTTTTGGGTTTGGCTTTGTTTCACTTCTCCCGTTTCCTATCATTTTGCTTATTTTTTGTTTGATGCCCACTCTTCTCTTTACCCTAACTTTGTTCTTAAGTCTTAAAACTCCACCACAGTAAATACCTGCTAAATTGTGGAATGCTTAGTTAATTGTTTTAATCTGGTATAAATGAGACAGAGTCAAGGTTAGTACCTATTTTGTCTACCTCTAAGGAACATCGAAATGTTACCAAGTGCACTTTATTGCACCAGCACTAACAGTTCATGTTGAAATCTATGCAATTTATAATGTTTGCTGAGCACTTAAAGGTTTTTTCACACCTGTTTTCAGGGTTTCAGTACAGTCCAAGAACTGTTCTACTTTGCAACTTAATATGACTTACAAGCATATAAGGTAGCCCTTCATAGGGGTGTTAAGTACTGGTTATTCTGTGTTCATGTATTTTAAGTACTTCCATGAACAGGAGTCAGAAGTCATCTGACACATGGGAACACATTAAGTAAAAGAGAGTAGTAATAGAAACTTTAGTACAAATTCATTCAGGTTGTTTCAAAGGGTAAGACTCAGACATGAGTCTGAGTCAGAACTGAAGGCCTCACTACTTACAGGAGCATTTAATACCTTGACATATAGAATGATTAAACACCTTACTTCCAGCAACTTACTTTAGCTGGGGCTTTGGAATTTATTTATTTTCCTGTGTTTTGCTAGCAGATTTCTCACCCACTTTTTCTTGTGTCCTTTGTTAATGAAGAAAGGATGGCTCAGTTTGTATCCCAGCTGAAGCTGCCCGCTGCAATGCTTGCCTCCCAAGCTCATGGAAAACCAGGGCCCCCAGGAAAAGATGGGTTACCAGGGCCACCAGGAAAGGATGGTTTGCCAGGGCCACCAGGAGAACGTGGAATTCAAGGTAGGAATTCCAAAAAATGTTCCCATGAATTGTATCTTGAAATCTTTATACACTTGCTAATGATTATTAAATAAGCCAGGATTACCTATCTAGCTTCCTAATGATTAACTTTTAAAACAGTACTTATGTTTTTCCAGACTAGATCTAAATATTAACCCATAGTAAATGTGTGGATTTTACTGATTAAAAACTCCTAATCAGTGCATTTTATTCTAATAAGTGATCAAGTTAATTACTGACAGATATCTAAAGCTGACAGATATCTAGACTACTGTAGTAGTTATTTTTTTTTTTTTCTCCAAAATACTTTAACAAGGAAGAAAAACTATGCCAGTACTCTCATGTAACTGTTTGGATCCTGTTCCATATTGAGAGACCATCTTATTTAGGAAGCAAAATTTGATCTCCAAGTCTAAGTGCTCTCAGCTCTGATCCCAAGACAACACAGGGAAGGAAAAAACTGAAGACAAATATTATTCTTTAAGAAGCAGTGAAAACTGAAATATTATCACATGAATCCTTCTTACAGTGAAGTAATCTATTTTCACAAATCAGTTTCAAAGTAATCAGCTTTTCACTATACCCCAAATGGTAATTTGTACATTGCAATGCATTTGGACAGTATAGGACTCTTGTTCCACTGAACTGTCTTTCACTGCAAAATTAGCTTCAAGGGATCCAGGCTCGCTGTAGCTATGCTCTGCTGTAGAGTCAACCTCTCAGAGATTAAAAGGAAGAGGAGAACAGAATAAAAGGAAAAAAGAATTTATCAATGAATAATATTTTGTGGGCGGGTAACATGTAATTTGCAGTTTATCTGTAGGTAGTTCTTTATTATCTTTTGTTAGTTTGGTCTGCTCTGGAGTCAGAGCAAGTCAGACTGGAATGAAGAACATGAGAGCAAAGCTGAAGATGTGTGGATCCTAAAGCTATCAGAAGAATAAAGACTTACTAACACTGATAAGCGCAAACCCCTGACAGAAGCTTGAAAAATGTGATGAGCTCAGAATGAGAAGAACAAGAATAAAGGATCAAGGAAAACCATAAAAGGCTTAGAGTCTTACAACACTGACTTCATCATTACCTAAATATCCAGATCACTGTAAACAGTCACCTTCAATGTCAGTGCCAGATTGTTCAATGATGATGTATGTGGTGGATAGTCTCAGATGCTTCTGGGAAGTGGAACATTGTACTAGGCTTCATTTCCAGCTAGAGAGCATCAAGAGTAAAGATGATAGCTATGCTTGAAAAAAAAAAAAATAAAGCTGCTTTTTCATGCCTTATGCTTAAGTAAAAGTAGTGGCCCATGTACACAGGATTTCCATTTATTTTACTGATATGCTCAATACTCTTTTTTCATTAGTAAAAGGTAAGCTAAGTGAGAAGCATTTACTTCTCTGATGCATCAAAAGAGATATGAAATTATACTTCCAAGGAAAGCAAACCAAAACTTTGTCTTGCCTCCTTTTTACACCCTGAGTAAGAGATAGTCCCATGAGAGAAGCACACTTACAAATACCCTTCATGCCTTTCCCAGTTGTGCCTGTGCGTGCTATTGTTTTGTGCCAACAGTAAAAAGAAATTCAAATCTCTGAGCAGACTGAAAAGTATCCTTCCGTATTCCAGTTTATTTTCAGCCCTAAAAGACATAGCGGACAAGACTTCTTCGAGAAGCATGTGTGGCTGAGATCATCAAGGTAGCATGCTGTGTGCATGTATGCCCAAGTCATAATATGCATTGGAGAGGGTATTTGGTATTGACTGCCAGATATTCCTTATTATAACTCTCACTTGGTTCTAGCCCCAGTTGCCAACTCCAACGTTTTTCTGTGTATAGTAATATACATTTGAGCTGGCAGGATGAAACAGTCACTTGTCCCGTACAGCCAGGACTGTTGGAGGGCAATTAACAGGACCTCTACGAACACCTCCAGAGCAGTTTGCGATGCTGCACACTGAGGAGAGAGCCTGCTAGAGCCAGCCAGCAGGAAGGACAGGAGCCACCATGTGCCCAAGGAGGTGCTTAACTTGTGGATTTGCAGGGGTTCCTCCTGAACACCTTGATGTGGTGCCAGTTCCCCCAGGAACTGGTCTGGCCTGGCCTGGCCAATTTCCACCAGAGCCTCCTTCTGCACAGCAAACCACTAGGTAGGGGTTAGTCCCAGAGGCAGAAAACATAGATAACTAACTTTTGGAAGTGTATATGTGGTCTTCAGAAAGTGTGTTTAAGGAATTGCTAGACTCTTGGGCATAGAGTCATTCATTTCCAATGAAGTCCAGAATTGCTACCTGTTGGCCTTCAGCAAGTTTGGGGGTTGGACTAGATGACCTCTAAAGGTCCCATCCAACCCAAAACATTCTATGATTCTATGAAGTTTGTTCATAGTGTACCCCAGGTACTTCCCAGTGGTTCAGGTACAAATATTGTTGATTTTATATGGTGGTCACAGTAAAAATATTGCATGCAAACAAAAAACAACAAAGAATTGCAACATAAATTACAAAATATGCCGTTGGTATTTAAACACACTTCATATAATAACGATTGGGAGATTATTTTATTTTATTTTAAAAGAATAACCGATGGCATATGCACCAGCAAGCTGATACTGTGAGGCAGGGTTACCAGTGAAATGTACAGCATCTACTTAAGGGGGAGCAGAGGAACTCATTTACTCTGCGTGCGTTTCAAAGGATGGTAATGTCTTGTAGAGAAACAGGAAGTTTATTTCAAGACTTTATTGGCAAGCTATCACAATGGCATCCATTTGCAGTCAGTCAGATTGTCATGTGTTAGAGGATGTAGCGCAATTAATTCCACTGACTTAATCGGATTTTTTAAAACTCTAATAGAAAGTGAATTTTGGTCCATTAGACCAAATTCACCTTGGGATAATTTTGCAGTCTAGAGATGCATATTACCCTTTATGTTAATATGACTATTGATTTTTTTTCTCAATAGAGAAAAGAAGGTTTCATCATAGTTAAACTTCACTGTTTCTATCAAATTAGGAGTTTTCAATGGGTTCTCATAACTCATAGTAGCCTGGAGGAAACACAGCTCAGGGAAGAAACATACCATGTGATGAATAGTCAAAGTTTCTTACCTTTATTGCTGAATTCCATTGTGAAATTTATATCTTTTCTTATTAATTTGCATGGTAGGGAGCATCTAGAAACCTTGGCTGACATCAGGAACCCATTATAGTAGTGGATGTTGTCCAGACACTGTCACTCTTCCAAAATAGCCATGCTGGTTTCAAGCGTTACCTCCTGTAAACTGTTCTTTGCTGCGGACGGTGAAGCTAACCTCTTTTACATTGATTTGAAACTCAGTTACCACCTCTCAGCTGAGAGGGCTAGAACACACAGAAGGAATTCAGAATACGCACTGGAGGCTGGATGAGAGGGCTTGCTCTTGTTGCTTTGCAGTTGTTTCATTTTAGGCACACAGAGTAGTTGCACAGTAAAACACAGTGGATGCTTCGGTCTCATTGTTCCTTGTCGTGGTAATGTGTTTGCCTCATATTGGTATTAAAGAACCTCAGATTTCTCTAGATACTTGACGTGCTAGTTTCAGGTGCTGCATTATCCATGCAGATGGAAGAGGGTCTCCATGATATAGGTGGAATACCTTTAGGAGCTGTTGAAACGAGAGAACGTTTTACCTCCAAGTTCGTAGGCGTGAACATGTGTCATTTCCAAGCAGAGCTGAGGGTGTTGCGGTAGCGATGCTTCTGCTGTGACATTTGTGGAGGTCATCAAACGGAGAGCTGTATTTTAGCTACCACCACTCATCTATGAGCAGAAGGAAGCTGATCCGTTTGGACACATACTGGCTACGTACTGCTACCAAGTGTTTACCGTACTACCCAAGTTGGGGACATGTTTACATACGACAACTTTTGGGTTTCAGAAATCACGACAAAACTTCTGGAACCCAAGTGAAAGGCTTTGCTAAGGCAGTCGCCTTTTGAATTAAGCAGGTACCTCTTACTGGAATCATAGTTCTACCAGTAAAAATAGACAGCATCTTATATGTGCCTTTATGTTAAAAACAATAAATCAAAATGTGATTTATGCATTTGGCAATATTTTCCTTTGACTGTGTTTGAGTTTGTCACTTTAGGCTCAGAGAGAAGGTGATATTATCCTCTAGTAGTGTAATCATGGCCCTGCTTCTGAGCAAAATATACCTCATTACAAATAAAATATTTTCCTGCCAGAATTACACATTACATTGTTCGGATTGTTTACATATAGGTCTGTTTACTAATATGCTTACACCTTGTTACGTAAAGCCTTATTTTTAGAAAAGATATCTGGGAATTTTTGTATTAAACTTCAGTATCAACAGAACTTATCTGCCACTGTGTACAAACTCCACCTTTGCATGTATGTTCAGATACAGCCAGTAATGGTTGACACTACCCTGGATCATATATTTGCTTGGCAGGCTGCTCTTTGTCCTGTTGTGGGGTGTTTTGTTTTCCTCATTGTCTTGAATTCCAGTGATGTTTACAGAATCTTTCAGTCTCAGTCCCTTTTCAGTTACGATGTCTCAGATACCTACGGTAATGGTTATCACGGAGCTTGTAAATGTGATATATCGTAAATGTGATTTCTCTCTTTTCCCCATAACTAAAGAAATGATTAGTGGCAGCACTGCTTTGTAAACTTGCAATTAACTGGGTTTGTAGTGAGAAATGTACTGTAACTATCTATTGTAAATTGAGAAACTTAGAGATATATTTAATAAATAGAGGATGTAATAGATCCTGTGGTTGTATGATTGAGCTTCTCAAACGGTAGCTGCCTACTATGCGTTACACAAGATTTTCAGAGAAAAACAACTTGATGTAGTTATAAATACTACTGTGGTCATTAAAGAGCAAAATTAAGATTCACGATTGAACACCTGCACATTCCCTTTTCTGAGTCTTTATAGCTTGTGTGCATATATGCCTCATACAGTTCTGCTTAACAGAACTCAGTGACCAGGATGCATGATTAATACTGTTTCTCTGTGAGCTTTTAAACAGCTGATTTCCTTTTGCTACGCCATGCACGTCACTCTGCATGTGTTTTCTGATGGTTTTGCCTCACTGTAATTTCCGAGTTGGGGTGCTGAGAGAAGATAATTGATGCTCTGTTTTGAAACCTAGAATGATGGCAACAGATAATGGACTTTCTCCCGAAGCGTATAATGAGCTTGTGTTTAATGGAAAGCTTAAATACTCTATGTACCATTCCT